GGATGAACGGACAGTGGAGTCTTAGTAATAGGCTCCCGTTGGTTACTCTTCTGGTACGGAACCCTCAAAATGATACATTTTTATTGATTTTATTTGCTTTGAATAAAATAGTATTGCATATGCTATTAATAATAATTGTTAATTGTTTTATTAGAAATTATTCTTAAAATTATTTAAATAAAAGAACACCACTCCGTAACAAACGCTCCTTACTATCAAAATCCATTCTGGAGTCCAATTGCCAAAAATAACAAAGGTGTGAGTGCGGATGCTCAACTTGCTCTCCTGCTTACGCAACCGATCATTACCAGCAACAAAACAGCGCACTGCATCATACATTCAGTATAGAGCAATACAGTTCCAACGACCGTAACATGTTCCCGTCACAATCACACACCGGAGTAACGTAAAGGACTCAATTACACGATAACACCAGAGTATGCAAACCAATCCATCTCAATGTAACACAGAGCGGCTACCGTGCAGAGGCTTCTCAGCAACAAGATCTTCCTTGCCTACACTAGTAGAATAACCTAACGGGCATAGTAACGACAGTGAATTACCTCGTCGAATTACCCACTGATCCCTCTTAGTAGCACTAAAATTGAGCACTATCGTCACCAACTATTTAGGGTTCCATAGTTATACAACAAGGAACACTTATAGTTTCACCCTGTCCGTCCGTCCGTCCGCGGTTTTGCCCAGAGACCCTGGGTGCTACAAATCTGTAATTTAGCATTTTTATTTTAGGTACTTCCCATACAAGTAAATGAAGGATGATTTTTTTACCCGTCTAAACCATCATATGGGTATCGTTGGATAGGCCTTTCAAAAACATTGCGGGCATAGAACAACATCTTTTCGATTCAGGGATCCGTTTACGAAATATTTAACTCTAAACTGGTATTTTTCATGTCAGTCATGTGTCCCCCCCCCCCCCCCTCTGTACCAACTAAACCGCTATTTTTGTAAATGTGAAAGTTTGCATATATAATGAAGTTAAAAGGAATACTATTACAGCTAAGTAGAATTAAGAAGTTAACGAGTAATAGTCGACCAACCTATAAAATGCACCTAGATTAGTAAAAATACGTATCGTTACAACTCCATATAAAATGACCTAAAACTAGCTGCATTATAACTTTGTAATGTTGTTGTAAACTGTTAAAATTAAACATTTTATGAAGAAAGCGACTTATATGCATTACAACTATAGCTTTACATTTTCATTTGCGGGATAGGCAGGGGGGATCATTCTCACTTACTATTTTCACTTATTTTTTAGTTGATAGTTATTGTAGGCCTCATTCAAAGTATTCATACCACAGAACACAATTACTCTCTACCAAGAAAAGAACGCCAACTTCATACAAAAAACGGAAACACGTGTTAACGAGTGTACACGAAAAGCGCTACGGTGGACGCCCATATAAAACTTTTTAGCGGGAATTTCAAACCTTTGTATTCTGTAACTTTAAACTTTTTATTTAAGGCTTATTCGAGTAATTTTGGTTCACAATTTTGGCTTATAAACGACACATTATTATTGATGTTTTTTATTGTTTTTGTACATAATATTTCCACGCTGGTTACTGATGTATAACACATATTATTGTCAGAAAGTTATTCTACACAGAACATTAACGTAAATTTAAATCAGCAAAATTCTCATGGTGAAAACTTAACTCAGCCCAAATAAATGACCTGAAACACATAAAATTCGAGTTAATATAGTAATAATCCCTACAAATAACGATCAATACATTGAAAATGCTTAAAGACTTACCACAATATTGTTAGAAGTTTTTCTTCTACTATTGTAGGAAACCTGCAGAAAGTAGTTAGATGATTTTGTGCCTTTTGTTTGCACAACGCTTAATTTACTTTCGATTCTGATCACACATCGTGAATAAACATTTTTTAATAATAAATTTATATTCAATATCTCTTAGAGTCAACATCTCACAAAAAATATTTACAGACACAATCGCGAAGAAACGACTACAAAAGGAAATGAAGTATTCTGAACCTATAATAACTGAACTGCAGCAAAAAGCATTAACAAATATTATAATCTAAACCTATTAAATAAATTTTAATCAATTTCATGACTTCAGAAAATATTTTCAATATGAAAGACTTTGACAAATAAATGTCATTTTTTTCTTCTTTTAATTCATGGCTTCTCTTGATAGAATTCTGCTAATATTAAATAATTTAATTTAAATGAATTAAATTGTGCAAATTTCACAGTAATATGTATGTAATTATAGTTAGAGCAAACCAAAAAAAGTTTAACACTTAATTAACATTTTTAGTTTCTTTCGATATAATATGAATTTGTGTATCTAATTTTTAAAGTGGCAATCTAAAACAACATGAAGGAAAGAGAAACAGCGAAAATAAGTACGATTTTCCAATTTGGGCCCATTTTTAGTTGCTATTGCGGTCAAACTGCTAACTCACTTATTATGCTCATTATCAAGAAAGCCAACGTATTGTGACGGGCAACTACCGAACCCTTCGTCTACATTGTGTGTGGCCCGCCACGCACTTGGCCAGTTTTTTAATATTTATGTGCGTGCAATTGATAGCACCAATCACTTGCCTAAAACCACAAATGTTGTTAAATCGAGAAACAACTTGTTATTGCCCTTCTAAAGTTTTTTTTTTTATAGAAGAGCCCCAAATAAGCATGTGGCTCACCTAATGGTAAGTGTCGTCCGCCACCCATGAACAACTGGAACACCAGAGGAGTTGCAGGTACGTTGCAAGCCTTTTAAAAAGGAGTAAGCTCGTTTCTTGAAGGTATCGGTCCGGAAAAATCACGGTTGTAAACAATTCCACAAAGTAGTCGTGCGAGGAAGAAAACACCTAGTAAAACCACTGTGCGGTAGACCGTCAAGTATACAGATGCTGTGGATGGTATCGTGAGTTTTATAGCGATGTGTGTTGGTGAAATTCGGAATTAATCCGAAGAATTCCTCAGAGCCTACACCGTGGTAAATACGATAGAAAATGCAAAGGGATGCAACATCTATTCGCAGTGCCAGTGAATCGAGGCAGTCGAAAAGAAGTTAGCCGTCAACGATTTGAGCTGCTCAGCAAGGGATGTGGTCAAGTGTAAGGAACTGGCATTGGGGAGCCCCGGCACAGAGATGGGAACAGTATTCTATGTGAGGCTGAACCTACGCTTTGTAAAGTTGCAAGCGGTGTGCAAGCATAAAATACTGTCCCGCTCTGCTGAGCAGGCCAAGCTTTTTAAAGTCCAACTTGGCCTTCTCTTCCAAATGACCACGAAACTGCAAATCATTCGATATGTCGACGCCGAAGATTCCGATACTGGCTGAGGCAACAAAGGGAATACCTTGAAACTGAGGAGACACGACAAATGGGTTTTTTTAGCGGTAAACGCGCAAATTTATGTCGTCTGGAGATTTCACTGGACTAGATTTAGGTGTCGCCATTTCGAGACTTTGTTAAAGAAATACTTGACTTCAGACACAAGTTTGTTCCGGTACTCGGTGACGTTTTCCCGAGAAATATTGGCACGGCCGGTGTATAGAGCATCACCAGTGCTGTCATCCGCATAGCAATGAATGCTACCGGATGCAACATATCATTGATATACAGAAGAAACAGCGTTGGTGATAGCACGCAGCCTTGTGGAACACCAGCGTTAATAGGCTTGTAGTCGGAGCATGCACCGTCTACAACGACCTTGATGCTGCTATCTGCAAGAAAGCTCGTGATCCAATTGCATAATTTCTCGGGAAGCCCATAGAAAGGGAGCTTCGAAAGAAGCGTTTTCTGCCAAACCCGATCGAAGGCCTTCGCAATGTCAAAATGTCTGCTACGTCATCTTGAACTTCTTGCCTAGCCCACGTTCTGAGAGTAGTACAAACCTGAAGTTCTTCAGACAGGTCGCCACCACTAGCTTGTGGTTTGACGCTAACTCAATAATTTTTTCGACATACTGTAAATAATCCATATTTGTCAAAAAAACTACACGTAAAATTAAGACTATACACGTCTTAAACAAAGATCAAGGACTGTATAACGGTTGCGGAATTTCTCATACAATTTAAACACTCGATAAAACAGATTGTTGTAATTGTAAATATCTAAACTCTCAATTGTCGTTTATTTGTAAAGTTAGCGTTATAACTCCGGCATACTTCGTTTGTAAATCTTTATTAGTAAGGCTGTATGGGTGTACTAACTATGTACGTAAGCATTACTCCCTAGCAAGTAATTATTCATATTTATAGTACACGTTGACTTGAACTACGTTTAAGTCACGCTCGTGTGGGGCTTAACTAGTCGATTATTGTACGGTATGTTTTACTTAAGTCACGCATATAATTTATAAGATATTATAATTTTTAATAAATTTAAACATTTATTGAAACATAATAATAAATACAGAACAATAGAACCTTAATAATAAGTAACATCTATTATGATACTTTAAATTACAAACAAAACATTAAATCATTTGATTAAGAAATATAAAAAAAAATACTTGACATAAAGTCATTTAAATTTCTTCTTTTTTTAGTTTGAACTGTATTTCTTAAAGCACAAAAATTAAAAACATAATTACTATTATTACCATTTATGGTCCTATCACATTTGTTGAAAAAGTAAGATCGTTGTGAATTCAGGTTAGATAAATCATTTACATATAAGCCTACATCTGGATCATACAAAACTTATTTAAATAGTCTCGTTGCACCTTTAGTCCCGTTTAATTAAATCTTTAGATTGATGTTTTAATTTTGTACCGAAACTCACTTGTACTATAAAATAATGTGCGATACACGGAACTTAAGTGTCCGATTATTAAAACGTGTAAAGTTAGTGCACTCGCTTCTCTCGTGCGCTAACTGCACACGGTTCAATAATCGGTTACTTAAATCCCTTGTATTGTCATGTACTATTTTGTAACTCGTAGCACCGCGTAGTTATAGGACAATTGGAGGATTATATACAGACTTGTCAGTGAAATCACAAGGCTCCAACTGAAAACCAGCGAACGAAGAGAGAATTGTTTATGTCACATTTTAGTTTTAATTTATTAATAATTTTTTTTGTTTTATTATTAATTAATGATGTGCGCGTACTGCTTCTGAATTTTAATGCGTAAGCAGTCTTAGAATTATTCATGCATAATATGTTTGCCCCTTGTGTTAGTATATTTTTTGAAATGTGTGTAAAATTTCTATTAAGTAAATAGCGTTTTCTTTTTTCTTTCTTGCTTTCTTTTCTTTCTGATCTTTCCTTCGTTCTTTCTTTCTGTATGTCTTGCTTTTTATTTTTATTTCTATCTTTCATTCCACCTTTCTATTATTTATTTATTTCTTTTAATTATCCTACTCCTGATATTCTGCATTCGTCTCAGTCTCTCGAAGTTTAGTTTTGTGAAGGTTTCATTTCTTTTTACAAGTATTATCTGACTATTTTTATTGTTATATACTTAATAACTAAAAACGTTAGATGTCTCATGTCCTCACATATTTGTTCACTTCAAAGTTATAAATGAGGTAATAAATTTCCACTTTTACTTTCAGATCTATTACGACTACTCTTATGATAATAGCTCACGTCATATTTATTAATTCGATGGGCTTTATCGACTCGCCGCATGACTTCGAAAAGGTAAAGCCTTATTACAGGTTTCTCTATATTATCTATAGATAAAGAAAAAAGAAAAAGGAAGAACGACGCTTCTTTCTCGGTGTGTGTGTGTGCGTGTGCATGTTCGTGTGAGTTTGCATGTGCGTGTGAGTTTGCATGTGCGTGTGCGTGTGAGTCTGCGGGTGCGTGTGCGTGTGCATGTGCATGTGCGCCTGCGTGTGCGTGTGCGTGTGCGTGTATGTGTGCGTGCGTGTGCATGTGTGTGTGCGTGTGCATGTGCGTGTGCGTGTGCGTGTGCATGTGCGTGTGCGTGTGCATGTGGGTGTGCGTGTGCGTGTGTGTGTGTGTGTGTGCGTGTGCGTGTGCGTCACGCGTGCGTGTGCGTGTGTTTGATCACATGTAATACTTTAATCATAAATAACTATTAAAGAGTTTCTTACATACTTCTGTTTTAAAAATTCTTTCCTTTAAAATATCAATGTTTGAAAGCATTTCTCTTCTATCTGGGGTATTTCTAGGATTTTTTTAAGAATTTTTTCCTATTGAAAACAATTACAATACATTTCCAAACGCGATCATTGTATAGAAAATTTCCTTATCTTTTTTAAAAAAGGAATCAAAGGAGAATGGAATTCTTGAGCCTAAAGTTAACTGACTGGTTTATTCTTCAAAAAATCGGCCCTATATTTCTAAAGTAAAATACTAAAAAGTAGCTCTTTTTACAATCTAGAATTTGAGAAAACAATAAAATAAGGAATAAGTTAGAAAATCGATTGTAGTGTTTTCTTTATGGCAATAATTCGCTTACCATAAATAATACACTAGTGAAATTCTCGTTTCTGAACGTTTTCTTTCAACAGAGGACTTCTAATTTTGAAACTTGACTTGACAGTTCAAAGTTCAAACTATTTAAAAAGAAAAAGACAGATTTTCGATTCGATTTGAAACGTGTGCAATATAATCGATTCTCGATGAAATTGAGCATTTTAATATCTATTTTCGATTATTTTTATTATTATATCTACAAAATAATAATAAAAAAATACAAAATATCAACATTCCAACAAGTAACAGATACAACAACAATTCAATTAATCAATCTCAGATCAATATCTCTAATATACACTTCACATAGTTGTGGTTGTTTTAACTTTCGTTAATCGTTTCACCATTTCATTTCATTACTAACCACAGCTTTTTTGGTGATTTTATACTGATCCTACTATAATATCTTTAAGTAATTATAGTAAAAAATAGCTTATTATAGTGTAATAACATTGAAAACTCACATTTTAAAGGGTAGGTAAAAGATAATCTCACTTTTACTTATTCTATAATAACTCAACTCCTAGATTGACAAATCTTGCCAGATTTTCAGGTATGAATTGTTTATATACACGCTTTCAAATGGTCCTACTTCATCTTGTTAACACTTGGGCCCAATAGTGAATGGAGACGTCTCCTTCTCCTTTGAAAATAAATTTTTTTAGTCTTCTAAACTTAACTAACTTCTAAAGATTTTTTTTATTTTCTTATCTATACATATAATAAAAATGTAAATAGCAGATGTATATACATTTTATATTTTTGTAATAAAAGAGATTGAGGGGTACTAAAAATAAGTAATTAAATACATTTCTACCATTTTTAGAATTTTCTGTCTATCTGTTTGTCTGTTTGTTTGTTAACGTATCACGTGTAAAGTACTGATTTATGTCATAAGAATTGTTAAGGGAATTATAGAGTGTTTCATCGGGTTACATTTAGTCTTTATTTCATTAAAATCAGTTCATTCTATCCGAAGTTATGATAAATATTCTGAAGTATGGGTAGGGAAGTATAGGTACGTATTTGCTCAACGGTGGCTTTGGTTGAGTCATCAAGGGCATTTTAAACTAATATCATATCATAAATCATAATTAAATGATTTAAAATAATATTCTATAATGATATAATTATGTATATCTAAAACGCAGTAAACAAAAGTATTAAAGAACGTATTAAATATATTATACAAAAATATATTAACCTTATTAACGAAATCTAAAAGTTAATTAAAAGTTCATATCAACACAACAATTCATCATCGATAGATGGTAGTGTTGTGCAAATATAATGCAAAAAGGCAGGTTGTGGTTTTTTCCTGTAGATGAGTCTTCATATGTACTGCTAATCTTTTTCTTTACCGCCGAGTACTCTATGTTTTAAATCAAATTTTAAAAGAGCTATTAACAATTGCGTTGGTTTTGGCGAGGATCAAACTTTATTTTTTGCTTACTGTGCAGGCACTGATTTATAAGTTCTTTTACGTTTTATACAATGTATCAATCGCGTCTTTTATTTTTAGAATTGATGTTAGCAGCGCGATCTCTCTTTAAATATATACATACAATAAAAATGATGATAACATATTCTGTCTATTTCTGTACATTGTATAGTATATTTTTGTGGCTAAAATCATTATGGGAAATTGTAAATAATTAAATAAGTACATTTTTATAATTTTAGGATTGTCGGTCTATCTGTCTGCCTGTTTTTTTATGAATGCATAACGTCTAAAGTAAACATCTTTTTTTTAAAGAAATCGTTAAGAAAATTATAAAGCGTATCTTCGAGTTACATTTCATCTTTGTTTTATTTAAATTGGTTAATTCTATCGAATGTAATGATTATTTTTTTCAAATATAGGTTCGAATTTGTTCAATAGCGCCATAAAATCTCAGAAATAGTAATAAAAAGATTTGTGTGTAAGAAAAGTTCCATAATAATTAATATATTTATACTTAAAACACAAAAAGAGATTAAAAAAGGATGTTTTCTGACACAAAGGACGTCATAGATGGAGTTGTACAAATTACAACCTTTTCTGGATTGCGGTGTTGAGATTCTCCGCCGGTGAATCGTATTGAGACTTACTGAAGGAATTTGTATCTACCGAAGCCATACAACGGAACCCGACCAAAGTAACAAAATTGCAACGAAATGTCGTGATAATGTATTTACCTATAATATACGCAAAATCAGTGCTGCCATTTTAGCGCTTTGGGAACTAGATCTAGCGCTTTTTGGTGTATTTAGCACACATTTCAAAATTGTAGCGACTAGCAGGTTATCAAACTCTTTTATAGCATCACTGTTAGTCCACATTACCGATAATAATAATAATGACCTTTATTATTTTTGCCCACAAATAGTACATTGCAGTTTATCTTTTCAAACATATTTTTTTCACAAAACAGAGCATGGGAGACGAGTCCAAACTACAATACCCTGTGCTATGGATCTCCCGGCTTCCCCTTTAGGATGATCAACTTGATTTTTTTTACCGACGACTATAAGCAAGGAAATTACCTTTATTAAAGTTTTCGTTCATGGTTTTGGCAACGCATTTATTTTGTTTTATTCAGTTTCAGTCAGTTGTTTGGAGTACAGCTAAGTTAAAAGTTACTTAGAAGTTACAACACAAAGAAACTGTGTAGCAACCGCAATCAGATGCTCACACCTGAAACTAAGTTGCGAAATACATTGCACTTTAAAACAATTAATGACATTTTAATTGTTCGTACAGTACTAACTACTGTTGACAGCAATTGCCATAATTATAAGTCAATATCCTGCGAAGTATTGATACAAAAAAAAAAAATTGTCAGAAAAAAACTTAATGTTGTTTTCTTTATTATGATTATATTTTCTTGAATTATAAATTATAATAAAAAAACAAACTTTGTTTGTAGTTAATTTAGCGCGAAATCTAGGGGTTTTTTAAAGCGCAGTTTTCATGAAATCTAGCGCTTTTTGTATTGTCCTAGCGCTGAATGAGTTTTTTTGATCTGGCAGCACTGCCCAAAATCCCTCTATTAAGAAATAACTTTCCTTTCAGTTTTAAGTGCGTTCAGTTCCCAGTCACAGTCAGCGTGTGTTATGCGATGACCGTAAATAAAGCGCAAGGACAAACTTTTCGCGTTGTCACAACAGTCAGTACTGAGGTGCACTCCTGCACCTCAGTACCGACTGTTTTGCACATGGCCAACTGTATGTTGCTTTTTCCCGCTTCTATACAATGATCGCGTAGTCTGAAAATATATTGTAATTGTTTTCAATAGGAAAAAATTCTTCATAAAAATCCTAATTTCGATTTAGGCGATTCTTTAGGAGCCCAGAACTGGACAAATACACATGATATGAAAAAGTTTTGTTCGTATTTATATCTACTAGAAATATAACTGTACTTCATATGAACAAATTTCAGAACCTCACTTTTTTCCCTGTCCGCTTGGCGTGAAATGCCCTATCTTCTAATGAGAGGAATTTATGGTATACACATCTGACGACATTCTCCGTAAATTAGGATCATGTCCGCATATTCAGCTACTGTGTAGTTCGGATGTGTACTTTCCATTACGATTACAAGTCTACACAAGCACTAATAACACAAATAAAAGCGTCCGTATAGCAAGAGATGTAAACGTACTTACTAGGTTAGAAAACGAAAACAAAGCAAAGCGTCTTTATCGCAGTACCATAATCTAATTACTATCCTAATTACACAAAAATTAATAAATAAAACATTAGGTAAGCGTCTTTTTCGCGGAAAAGTTCACAAAAATATTATTCGACGTAATTATACGCACTACTGTGAAGAAGTGTGTCAAGGACACGGATTCGGCTGGCACTAGAAAAGCAAAAAAAATAATTCGATTTCGGTGCAGCGGGCTGAGAGCGTGCGCGTCGCCTGCGCCGCCCGCTCGCCGACAAAGGGATGTCTCTGTCCTTCATAGTATTGCTTTTTCGTATTAATTTCAATGATGCGATGTTATGATTCGTGACCCCGGCAAATGACCGCTGCGCAACAGTTTTTTTAAGTACAGGTTTATTTTAAGATGCTATTTTCTAAAATTTTAAATAAATCCGTAAATAATAACGTTTAATGGAAATATAATTTCTTCATGAAATGAAAATGTGAAAACGTATGAGTGTGTTAAATCAAAGTCACCATTGTTGCTACACGTTTACTACATTCCTAATATTCCCTTTTACCACCACTGGTGAGTTGAAAATGCTTGTGTTAGAAATGATTTACGACAGTATTCGAATTGTGGATTCGATCCTACAACCTTTTGAGTTCGCGATCCACACCCTGCCATTAGGCTACTGTTGCTTACTACACTGTATTCTATCTCATTCATATTATTTATTGTCAAGCTAAATCCTGTAGATATTTTAGTTTTTAGTGTCGCCTTTTGAAACTCGATGTAACGGAGTTTCAAATCACAACGATTCCTTAAAAAAAAGAAACATCAAAATGGCCCACAATTGAAGAAGATTTCGCGTACAGTTGCATTGTGAACCTACTACTACTTTTTTTAAATCTGCTAAAAACCAACAATAACATAATACAACAATCAGGTGTTATAAGAACTTTATACTCTACAGACGTACGAGACGTTCCATTTTCACCTAATATACAACGGGCTAATGATCGTGCAGATTTTCTTCGTAATGTCGGCGTTTCTGCAGGCGTACAACATACAGATACGATCGGAGACAAAGCCAATTAAGTGGTCACAGCTTCCAAGGTTGTTTTTCGCAAGATGGTGCAGGTAAGAATTATCGATTTATAAAATTGAAACAACTTTTTTTATAGAATAGGGTGACAAGCGAGCACACATTCCACCTGATGGTAAGTGGATGTTGTAATCCATAGACTCCCACACATATTAGAGGTCGATTAAGAGTCAAAATGTAGATGAGATGAGAGACTCACGGTCACTACCTCTGATAGATGGTGGTATAAAAATCTGGTATTTTTTGAATCGATGTAAAATCACTGCCACTGTAAGCAGCGCCACATATGATACTGCGATCAGTATTTCGTCTGCTAATTACGACAATTATGTCAAATCTTGCATTAAATGATCCCATGGCCAGTAGTAGAACATTACCGGCTGACAAAGAAGATGGTAAGGAAGAAGAAGGCTGGACTATTTGCATTGACGGCGTAAACGAATCCGTCGCCGCATTCCGTCCCGTGGGTATCGTAAGAGGCGACTGTGGGGTAAGCCAAAAATATATTACAGCTTCTAATACATGGCGGTACCATCATCGCGTTTACGCCAAGCGCAAAACACCCAGAACCATAACTGTTTTTTTATAGAATAAAGGTAACAAACGAGCACACAGTCCACCTGATGGTTAGTGAATACTGTGGTCCATAGACATCTACATTTATACTTATTGGGGAATGAATGAGGATTAAGATGGACCGTGATGCGTCCCCGGTAGAGCCAATTTACGTGCTACAACAATATTTACTACGTGATATAAGAAATCATTATATAACGATGTTTTTAGATTGACCCCAGCCAATGCAGCGATGATCGCGTTCTCAGCCACTTGGCTTCGGCACATGGGATCTGGTCCTCTATGGAAGCTTTACGTCACCAACTCCGTGGTGGCTGACTGCCGGAAGTATTGGTGGTTACATGTCCTCTACCTCAATAACTATTGTTCAGAAGATAGACTGTGCGCCCTACAGACCTGGTAAATAATTTGTTTTTATTAATATATTCGGATTACAAACATAAGAAACAGAAATGAATGAATGTTTTTTTCTACTTTTTTATTTTTAGAAAAACTCCTGTATACTCCTGTATCGCGGGGACAGTTTACATTCACAAATTTCACTAGGACAGATATCCAGACCCGGACAAATTATTTGTAGGCCATACAAATACTTGTTCCGTGCGGGATTCGAACCCGCAGTCCTTAGCGCTGTAATTCATTGTTAAACCACTGCGCCACGGAGCCGTTGGTTAGGTTACAGTAATAAATTTTACATAGTTAACTGCTACAATAGGCAATCACAGCATGCATTAAACAAATTAAACATAATATGTGTTAATCAAAATGATAAAACAAAAGAAATAAAAGCTGATTTGTAATGCGAACGGTAAAGGCAGTTCATCCGTTCATTCATTCATTACAGTGCTTCACAAATCCACTGCTGCACATAAGCCTCCCCCAAATAATGCCATAAAGCACACGGTCCTGAGCCAACTGCATCCATCAACTTCCTGCATGTCGTACCAGTTCGTCACTCCATCTAATGGGGGACGCCCTATACTTCGTCAACCGGTACGAGGCTGCCACTCGAGAACCTTTCTTTTTCATTGGTTGTCCGTTCTTCGAGCTATGTGACCAGCCCATTGCCACTTCAGCTTACTAATCCGTTGGGCTATGTCGGTTACTCTGGTTTTTCTACGGATATCCTCATTTTTAAGTCTTACACGCAAAGAAACTCGGAGCATAACCATCTTCAGAGCTTGCTGAACGACCTTGAGCTTCCTTATACGGCCAGCAGTGAAAAGATCTCAGATTCATAAGTCATCACTGGCAAGACGCACTGATTGTACAAACTTGTTTTGAAATTTTGAGGTGTGCCTGACGAGAAGATATTTCGTAATTTTCCGAGAGCTGCCTCTCGGTCGTAGTTGGACTTATCTAGTCAGACTATTTGTCCCAGGTAAACATACTCGTCAACTACTTCGAGCGTAGTGCTCGCAACAAATACCGGCATAGGTGTAACATGGACATTAAACGTGACCTTTCTTTTGTCCATGTTCATCTTAAGACCTATCTGTTGGGAGACACTGTTGAGGACAATGAGCACTATGCTCAACGAACTCAAAAGTGCTGAGTTAAGCAACTCAAGGAGGTGCCGATTCTGCTGAAAAATATTTGTTTCTTTATTTATATAGACGCGTTTAATCGTGATTTTTCCAGGCACGTGGCAGCCGACACCCAACTCTTTGCGATAGGGATGTTTGTGTACTTGGCAACGGAGTCAAGTGGCAGGTGGTTGGCACTAACGCTGTTATTGCTTGTGGGAATGACAGCGCCGGCTCTGCACGTGTGGCTGCAGGACTTGGACGCGTTGGTTCTGATGTCGCCTGAGTAAGCGATTTATAATAATTTTATTAGTTAGAATAAAAAGCTACTTTCATAAAATCAACACTCATTGATCAACACAGAGCACCGGCGGATCGTAGGAGAGTAGCCATACGCAGGCATTTTCCTCTGTCAAAGTATATGTCCACGTTATCCTATGCGTACAAAAAACTAGTTACAGCCGCACTGCTCACTAGACTAAATCTAGTTGCGTGGCTGAATCGATGTCCTACAAAAATACTCAATTGGGATTTTTTTTTCTACAAAAAGAGATCAGCTACGTCAAATTTACAAAAAGGTGGCGTTATCTTTTATATACTTATAAATAAAGTAATAACGGTCATGTTGTTTCTCAACACAGGCCGCTTGCACTTATACAATATGCAGATTGTTCGAGCGACTGATCCGAGTCTGTATCCGAGTTGTCGCTGTCACCGAGCGATACTGTTGTAATGTATCTATGTGTATGTAAAATTGTTAGTTTATTGTTTTAATTGCCATGTGTGAGTTTCGTAGTAACAGACGATTGTTTTTGTGTGCGCGGAGCAGACATGACAAACAGTTCTGAAACGGGGAAAACGCTATGGCTACTTCCGTCCGGTCAGTCGGTGGCCCGTGTTGTACTATGTATTTCCCAAAGTCTGAAGAAGATAAACAACTCCCTTGAAGGATAATGTTTACGCTTTTTCAATAAGAGACACAAAGAAAAAGTAAGCTTACCTTTAAATATTTAAAAAAAATACACATATGAATCACTCATAAATAAAACATATTACACTGTCGATGACTGCCTTGTAAATAGAGATACTTGGTCTTAATGTCTTTCAGTTTAACACATATACAATCTCATTTACAAGCTGGAAAATTTAATATGTTATTTTGTTATTTAATGAACATAAATTCACCAAAGACGTATTTCGTCGTAGCTTTGTTTTAAGTCTACATGAATCTAGATATTGGTTTCATTTAACGATTCCTGTATGTGTATATGTGCGTTTATATGTGTATGTATATCCTGCATGTGTGTATATGTGTATATGTCAATTTTTTGTTTATTTCATAGACGGATGGGGGGTATATTGCCATAGTTGCCACGCTTCGCGAGCGGGTTGGCAACCGCAGATTAAACTCGAAATTCAACTCGGCTGAGCAGCGTTCGTGAGATTACGACACATCTTCTCGCCAGGCATACCTTAAAACTGACTGCACAAGCAGTGCTTGTTGCCAGTGATCATCTGTGGATCAGAGACGTAGTCCTTCACTGCTGGCCGAACAAGAAAGAAAGCTCAAGGTCGCTCAACGAGCTAAGAAGAGGGCTATGCTCGGGTTTTTTCTGCAAGATAGACTTAAAAACGAGGATATCCGCAGTAGAACTAAAGTCGACAAACCGACAAAGCCCAACGGATTAGTAATCTGAAGTGGCAATGGGCGGGCCTTATAGCTAGAAGAACGGACAACCGATTAAAGAGAAAGTTTCTCGAGTGGCAGCCTCGTACCGGTAGACGAAGTGTAGGGCGTCCCCCCATTAAATGGAGTGACGACCTGGTAAGACATGCATGAAGTCGATGGATGCAGGTGGCTCAGGACCGTGCTTTGTGGCATTATTTGGGGGAGGCTTATGTTCAGCAGTGGCCTTGTGAAGGGCTATAATGATGATTATGATAGACGGATGCACTCAGGTGTCCCCATAGATTGTCTCATAGGGGAGTATTTGTTATCGTTGACACGCTTGGCAGGCGGGTTGGCCACATCAGTTTTTTATTATTATGTTGAGTTGTTATCATGAATATGCTGTTGCCCTTCTCCCGATTAATTCCTCTCTCGCCTTTTACGATATGGCATATGTGATTATATAATTTCATGAAAATAACCTTGTATTCTCACTAGGATTATAACAGCACATGATGCGTGTTGTCAAAGTTTATTTGAACTCTAAATTTTGTAATATTATCCATATAGTAGCGATTTAAGAACATCCACTACTCCATATCACCCCGTGGATGTCGTAAGATAAAAAAAACTGCGGTTGACAATGTATGGCAAATATACCCTCAATGAGACAATCTATGGCGGAGGCCTATGTTCATCAGTGGATATTTGATAGGCTGTAATGGATAATGGATTTGTAATATTAATTTACTTGCTTCTGTTTAAAGATTTTACCGTAGATGGTTTGACACTACGTTTCACTACCTGCACGTCCTCGGTCACAACAATCTGACGTGTTACGTCATCGGCCTTGGTACTGGCACTCTTGTTTACCATTGGCAGAAGAAAAATGTGGATTTATATAAATATAAGTTAAGTATATCATAAAATTTACAGTTGAAAGGAACAGTTTCTTCTTTTGTAAAAACGTTACCTCCACACTAGGATTTTCTCTTCATTTGTGGGGACAGTTTACATACATAAACAGGAATAATTATTTGTAGGCCATACAAATGCTTACTTGTGGGTTCGAATCTGCGGCCTTTAGCGCTGCAACTCATTGCTAAGCCACTGCGCCACGGAGGCGTCGAGTTAAGTTATTGATTGTATTTTTTTTACTAAACGGGAATGACAAACGAACTAAATGAATTATGGAGACATTTATTACATGGGGAAATGCCTACGCATACCTGCTTCGCGGGGTCAAGGTCGACTTATATCTGACTCGCACCGACTAAAACCCCACGGTGTTCCACCTTCGTCGCATACCAGCAGGGCCACGAGAACGCTTTCGCACACATCCACGAGCCCACCGTGGTCACTCCTCTGGTAGAGTCCGTATACTCTTATACTAACTTCAAACGAAAATTTGTTGTCACCTCTGAGGTCTACGATGCAATGCCTCCAAGCCTGTAATTATACTGGTTCCAACTCAGAGGGATTCCTAGGCAGAAGAGGGTCCTGATATTTAAGGATTTACGTAGTCGCCTCTTACGAAACCCACTTTTTTATAGGATAGGGTGACAAACGAGTACGCAGTCCACCTGATGGTAAGTGGTTGCTGTGGCCCATAGACATCTACATCTATCCTCGTTTGCGAATCAAAATGCAGATGCGTTGTCACCTGTGAGGACTAAGATGGAATGCCACCTTTAGATAGATAGATAGATAGATAGATAGATAGATAGATAGATAGATAGATAGATAGATAGATAGATAGATAGATAGATAGATAGATAGATAGATAGATAGATAGATAGATAGATAGATAGATAGATAGATAGATAGATAGATAGATAGATAGATAGATAACACTTTATTGTACGCCAAAAAATAAAAAAAATATTAACAAAAAATGAGAAAAAGAAATGTGGTACAATGGGCGGTCTTATCGCTAAGAGCGATCTCTTCCAGACAACTTTTGGATGCACAGCATTGCAAGAAAACAATAAAAACGTGTGTGGTTTGCTGACAAAATAACATTATTTTTATTAAAGCCATAAAATAAAAATATATAATGGTATATAAGTAACTACATAAGATAAGATAAATACATATACACTTTTTAATATATATGTATAAATATACAAATAAATATATATTTTTATAAATATAAAGATATAAAAGTACAAATATATACTTCAAAACTATTACATATAACATAAAAGTGCTATACATATAAACAAATATTGTAACTAAATAAAGGAGAATAATTATATACAAATGAACTAGATAGAATCAAAGTTGAGAAAAGTAATCATGTACATATGTTTCTTAAAATCCGGTAGGGATTGAGCGCGTCTTGCTGATAACGGCAAGTCATTCCATAATCGAACAGCTTGTATTGTGAACGATCTGTCCAAAATTTTTTAACTTAAAAACTTTACAAAATATTTCCTTAAAAAAAGACTGTTATTTGATGTACATATGTATTACTATTACAGAAATGGGGGGCACTATGCTGGTTTATACTACCAGCTATTGGCTGTCTGTTCCTGACGGGGCGTTTGTTCTTCATTGACGGAGCTCGTGCCTCTCTGACCGCGCGCATGTTGTACGCGGGAACACACCGCGTCGTTATGGGAGCCTTGGTCGCCCTGGCCGTGGTGGCAATCACCATGAGGCTTAGTGGTAATAAACTTTCTACTACAAGGAAAGATCATAAATCTCACAGTGTGCTACACTAATATAATAATAATAATAATGTCCTCTAGACCGAGTTTCGGACACAGCGGCCAGTCTCAACGGAGATTAGCTATCTGCTCAGGACAGGATTATATGATATAGTGCCCAGGTGTATGCGTAAGCACAGGTGCACTCTCTATAAACTCATCAGCATGACCTCTCATCAGAGAAAGATCATGCGAACGACCTTCGGCTGTATGTCCTTTCCGAGACACGAGGCTGAAACACCGCCAAACTCCTTACTCTAGGCGGATACTGAAAATTTCTGGACAGAAAAACACAATAACAGATTTTTGACCGACGGGGGATCCGAACCCAAAGTAATCATATTTCATGATCAGATACCGCGTTTACGGTCACTAGACCGACGCACTAATGTGTTTCGTTTGGGAGCGACTAGAACCTTTTTAGTAGTAGTAAGGCACTGTGTTTTGATTCTTAATCGATGGACTACAACATCTTTTTACTAAGGTGTAGTGTTCATTTGAAACACCTTTTTTCAGCCCACTAATGTGTCCCACTGCAGTGCAAAGATCCTTTCTTCTGCCGTCTATCGCTATCTTCTGCGATATTTCCATTTTTATTTGAAATGGTGGTTCTGTTGCTTTGCTTTTGGGTCTGTCTGGTGTCCATCTCAATTTGGCTTATTGTTTCGTCATGCTCATTCGTCCTTCTGGAGTTGAACTAGTTACTAGCGTATGTCTTTCCATCCGATTACAATGTTGATGTCTTCAAGGCAACAGTGAATAGATTTTCGTTAAACTAAGTTAGTGTGTTTTTCTATCTTTGGCTACATCTTTACTTACCATTAGCTGTAATAGTATTCAAATACTGGTTAATGAAAAAAAAAAGAAACAATTAATAAAGATACTTTTAATTGTAAACTATATCGTGTTTATAGTTTTGTTAACCGACTTCAAAAAGGGAAGAGGTACTGAATCCGACTGTATTTTCTACCGACTTCAAAAAGAAGGAGGTACTCAATTCGACTATGTTTTTTATGTGTGTTACCTCATAACTTTTTTTTTAGGTGAATCGATTTGGATTATTCTTTTTTATTTGAAAGCTGGTGCTTTTCATGTGATCCCATATAAGTTTAATCAAGATCTGACCAGTAGTGCCTTGTTTCCGGTAAAAAGTTTTTCCAGTTCTCTACACTATATTAAACGCAGCAGTATTAAGCTGCCATTTTACTCTGGTATTCTATGAGAAAGTGGTCCTCAGTCGAGTCGATCCATTCGTGCCAATAATGATTCATTTGCAGCATGGCTTTACGATGTATAAACTGGTGATAACCACGATGATTTTTATAAACTTTTTTTTTAGTTTGTTTTTACTATCGTGTGTTTATTAATCGTATAATTAATAAATAACTGTAGTACCTTACGAGATCGTTTATCTCGTACGCGAGAAACCTAAGTATAGCATCTACAAAGCAGGTAATTGTAATATTGAATATAACATTTTATCCGGAAATCTAGGAGATTTTTTAAAAATACGATATTTTTAAAATAAATATGTTTGATTATCTTAAATCTAAATAACGCCACATTATTATATTCTACCTAAGCAAAGACAAAGCAAAATTGCCCTGTGGCAATTCGCTAGATTAAAATAAAATATTAAGAGGATTTGTGAAATTTGCTAACTCACATTGGGGCAGCGTCGTGAACTCTGAGCTGATTCTCCTGCTACAAAACCTTATTAGAAATAATAGGAGGATATAGTAGGGGGTATATATCATAAGTTGTAACTTTTACTTTTATTATTAATATATTTTTTATGGTTTCAGAGAGTTTCTGCAGCTTCTTTGAATGGAATGGCTGGTTGGTGCCCAGCAGACTCTCCTACAGCGTCTATTTGGTGCATATGAACTTTATACATGTGCTTCTTGGTATAAGAACACAACTCAGTCTCGTGTCTTTATATAATATGGTATGTGAAACCTTAATCATTTGACCGAGTCATTCTTCTTGTTCTTTTTTATTAGCTTGTGGTAGTCCACTGCTGAACATCATCATCATCAACATCATTACAGTCTATCAAAGTTCACTGCTGAATATGAGTTTCTCCCATTATTTCCTTCATATTTTCCATAGTTGCTACGATCGGCAGGCGGGCTTGCAACTACAGTTTTTTATCATTTTAAGTTCTCATCAGGAAGCTGCTGCTACCCATCTCCTGTTTCAGTTTCCCTCTGTTGCCCCTTACGACACCCATGGAATACTATAGGTTCTATAATCCCCCACAGATCTGCAGTTTTCTTAATTACAATACCTCTGTAATTAAGAAAACTGCAGATCTGTGGGGGATTTCTGTTAATGTTATTGCGTCTATAATAGATATAATCGCGCTTCAGCTAGTTATTGTTTTTAATACTAGTATAGAATATGGTGTGTTTTCTGATTTAATAAAGCATAGTAAGGTAATACTTTTACTCAAATTTGGTAGTACGTTTGACCCTCACTAAGTTAAGACCAATTTCTGTACTGCCAACACTTAGTAAATTTTAGAAAAAAATATTCTTGTACAAATGTAAAAAAAAATTATTGTAACTAATTTACTTCATAAAAATCAATTCAGTTTCACAAGGGGTCGCTCGACAACTGATGCTGGTGTTGAGCTTATTAAATAAATTTTCAATGCATGGGAAAATTCACAGGATGTTTTGGGTATATTCTGTGACCTATCCAAAGCCTTCGATTGTGTTCGCCATGAAACATTAATCAGGAAACTACAGTACTACGGTTTAAGAAGTAATGCTCTTAAATCAATTGTTTCGTATTTAAGTAACAGAATGCAAAAAATTGTCGTTAATAGTATGTGCACTTCCGGGTCGATAGTACAAATGGGCTTGCCTCAAGGCTCAATTCTCGGCCCTTACTGTTTCTTGTATATATTAATGATTTACCTTACATAGTAGGGGATAACCATAATATAGTATTATTCACTGATGACATTTCATTAATTTTCAAATTAAAACAACAAATATTAGAATATGACGAAGTAAATAATGCTAGATCTAAATTAGTATATTAATTAATGTTAATAACTTGCATTTGAATGGCACTAAAATGAAATGTATGAAATTCATGACTCCAAATGTCAAACACTAAAATACCAATGTAATTTTAAATGGTGAGGAACAGAGTTGTCGATATTACCGTTTTTCTTAGAATAACACTAGACACGAAGCTTCAATGGAGCCCCAATATATCAAAATTATATCAAGCAGACTTATTTCTGCAGCATATGCTGTAAAAGAAAATAGAAATCTTACCAGTGTGGAAACAGCTAGACTTGTTTACTTTACCTATTTCCTTAGCATAATATCGTTTGGTATTTTGCTATGGGGACACGAGACTGACACTGAAATTATATTTCTTTTACAAAAGATTGTCCTTGAGCAATCTATTATTTAAAACCTAAAGAGTCACTCCGACAAAAATTTAAGGAAATTAATATATTAATTTTGGCCTCTCAATGCATTTATGAAAATGTAATATACGTACACAAAAACAAAGTTAGTTATTCAAAAATAAGTGATATTCATTCTATAAATACTAGGAACAGACACAAGCTAGTAGTACCAGTTACTCAGTGTCACCGAGTCATTAATTCATTTTGGAGGCGATGTATACGCTTTTACAACAAAATCCCATAAAATACACAAAACTTGACCTGCTCAAAGATAAAAAAATTTTATTAAACAGTTTGTATAAAAAATGTTAATATAATGTTAAGGAATTTATGGATGATAATAACCCCTGGGAATGAGGTGATCGCTACCAAGCTATTTTTAATTTGTTTTGTGTGGTTAATTGTGTAACATACATGATTGTAAGATGTTACTTAAAAAAAAAGTCCCGCTGGGTTTCTTGCTGGATCTTCCCAGGACAGAGGTTTTTTTTTGAACCAGTGGTAATTAAACAAAGGAGTGAATTTCAATAAGTATTATTTATAATCTATATTGAATTAAAAAAAACCTGTTCTGTTCTGTTTAGTGGTTTCTTATATAACGCCGTACTGCTGAATGTTACATGCTACGTAACTGCTGGACAGAGGCCTCTTTAATTGTAGGAGGTATATTGTAGGAGATAGATGTCGTAATCGTGATAGTTGGCAGAAGGGGGTTATATCATCATCTATGGACCATGAGATGGTTTTAGCATTTCCCATAGACGCCTCTCAGGAAACCCACGAGAATAAGTGGGGTGGTGAATTATTTTATGCGAGAAAATGAGGCATTCCATCTTAGTCCTCAGGGGTTACAACGCATCTGCATTTTGATTCTTAATCGAGAGTAGGTGTAGATCAGCATCCACTTACCATCAGGTGGACTGTGTGCTCGTTTGTCATAACCTGTTCCCACATGTCGGGTATCGAGCCCGAAAAAAACTCGGCTGCTCAAGCGGTAGAACATTTTATATGAAGCTGTTAACACTTATCTGCCCCGTTTTTTGTCGGCGCCGACAAGAAATGTCGGATAAACGGTGGTAGAGCCACGCAGCAGCTTTTGCTGTTGCACGTGTGGGCTGGCGTAAGCCGGGTTAGTACGACGTCCTCACAAAATAACGGCGTGAAGTGGAAGCTCTGCTTCCGCGTTTCGTCTGGTGAGTTCAGGTGACCGGAGGCCCAATCCCCCCCCCCCCCCCATCAACATGGTAGCGGAATTACATCAAAGAGTACGCCAGGAGGGTACCAGCAGCCCTGGAAAATCCCTCGCTGAGCATCCACCACCATGCTATTCCACTCCTGAGCGTGGGTGCTCAGGCTGCCCCACGTATTCTGGGGGGGGGCAAAATTCCGCTCAACACAAAAATTGCTCGGGGCAAACTGAGCAACAATACCAAGGCGACCCCTGCCACGCTATCCGTCAAATCAGGGGACCTACCATCTCGAGACGGCGAAGCCGGCCTTGCTCTTTCTGACCGAGACGCAGGTGTCCTCTCCGGCTGATACTTCATATCTCTCCTACCCGGGGTACAAATTGGAGCACTCCTTTGTGCCTCGGGCTGGAGTTTGCGTATACGTCAAAGAGGACATCTGTTCTCGACGCCTCGGCAGTCTTGAAGGTTTGGACCTGTCCATCCTTTGGCTACGCGTAGACAGCGACGACCATCCGCGTGTCTACGGGTGCCTCTATTGGTCCCATAGCGGTAATGCCGAAACAGACCGACTCATTGACCACGTTCAAATGGCTACAGATTCCTTGCTGTAACAGGTCCCATCCGCAGAGATCGTGATCCTTGGCGATTTTAACGCCCACCACGCCAAATGGTTTGGTTCACGTTTAACCGATCATGCGGGGAGATCTGTTTACGACTTTACCTTGGCATATGGTCTGACACAACTGGTTACATCATCTACGCGGATTCCAGATGTTGAGGATCATACACCTTACCTGTTGGACCTTCTGCTGTCCTCTCATCCGGACGGATATCAGGTATCCGTCGATGCCCCTCTTGGTTCTTCGAACCGTTGTCTGATCTAGAGTGTGATGCCACTCACGCTCCCCTCGCGGTTGCGTTCTGCAGGTTGCCGCCTTGTTTGGCATTACAAGTCGGCGGATTGGGACGGAATGCGGTCTTTCTTTCCTTCCTACCCATGGGGGCGGGTTTGCTTCTCGCCGGATGATCCCAGCGCTGTTGCTGACTCTGTCACTGATATGGTGCTACAGGGAATGGATATATTTATTCCATCATCTGTGTTACCCATCGGAGGCAGATCTCAGCCTTGGTTTGGTCGCTCCTGTAAGACTGCATTACGCAGTAAGCAGGAGTGTTATCAAGCCTGGGCTGTGGCTTCGGCGACTCGGGATGCAAACACCAGCACACTTAAAAAGAAGTATAACCTCGCCGCCAGGTCCTTCAAAAGAGTTAAAGGCAAAGTTAGAGCACATAAGCAGAATTGGCGAGAAACTAGTTCGCCTTCCTTCGGGAACCCTGGTTGCATTCTGGTCTCTCGCCAAGGCTGTCCAAGGGAATTTATGTAAACTATCACTACCATCTCTGCACAGGGAGGACGAGTCACTGGCCCAAGACGCAAACGACAAAGCTGACCTTTTAGGCTCCCTTTTTGTTTCCAACTCGATTCTTGATGACGGGGGGAAAACACCGCCGACCATCCCGCGGTGTGAGTGCTCCATGCCGGATGTGCGGTTCTCACAGCGCTCGGTTCGCAGAGCATTCCTCTCCCTGGACATTCACAAGTCGAGTGGGCCTGACGGAATCCCCCCAATTGTGCTGAGGACGTGTGCTCCGGAGTTGGCACCGGTTCTAACACGTCTTTTCCGGTACTCCTACTCCCTAGGCGTAGTCCCGAATCATGGAAGACAGCTTTTGTCCACCCGATCCCTTAAAAAAGCGACCGCTCAGACACGTCCAACCACAGGCCTATCGCAATCACCGCCTTGTTATCCAAAATAATGGAATCCGTTATAAACTGCCACCTCATGCGGTACCTTGAGGATCACCAGCTGATTAGTGACCACCAATACGGTTTTCGTCGGAGTCGATCAGCTGGTGATCTTCAAGTCACTTGATTCATAGATGGGCGGAGGCATTAGAGTGAAAGGGGGAGGCCTTGGCCGTTAGTTGGGACATTGCGAAGGCCTTCGATCGGGTTTGGCACATAGCGATTCTTTCGAAGCTTCTTTCCTATGGGTTTCCCGAGAAATTGTGCAATTGGATCACCAGCTTTCTTGCAGATCGGAACATCAAGGTCGTTTTAGACGGTGCATGCTCCGACTACAAGCCTATTAACGCTAGTGTTCCACAAGGCTGCGTGCTATCACCAACGCTGTATCTTCTGCATATCAATGATATGTTGCAAACCGGTAGCATTCATTGCTATGCACTGGTGATGCTGTCGAAAACGTCGCCGAGTACCGGAACAAACTTGTGTCTGAAGTCAAAACTTTGCTGGATAAAGTCTCGGATTAGGGGCGACTAAATCTAGTCAAGTTAAATCCTCAGAAGACACAAGTTTGCGCGTTAACCGTTAAAAATAACCCCTTTGTCGTATCGCCTCAGTTTCAAGGTACTCCTCTTTTTGTCTCAGCCTGTATCGGAATCCTCGGCGTCGACATATCGAGTGACGTGCAGTTTCCTGGTCACTTGGAAAAGAAGGCCAAATTGGCCTCTAAAAAGCTTGGCGTGCTCAGCAGAGCGGGACAGTATTTCATGCCTGCACACCGCCTGCAACTTTACAAGGCGCAGGTTCGGCTTCACATGGAATACTGTTCCCATCTCTGGGCAGGGGCTCCCCAGTGCCAGATCCTTCCACTTGACCGCATCCAGCGCAGAGCGGCTCGAATCGTCGATGACCGAGCCCTTTCCGATCGGCTCGATTCATTGGCACTGCGAAGAGATGTTCCATCCCTTTGCATTTTCTTTGGCATCTACCATGGGGAGTGCTCTGAGGAATTGTTTGGATTAATCCCTGCCGCCAAATTTCACGATCGCACATCGCGGCTGAACTCCCGATACCATCCACACCATCTGGATGATTCGCGGTCCACCACTGTCCGATTTAGAAGATGTTTCCTTCCTCGCACAACTTCCTTGTGGAATAGTTTACCACCAGCGATTTTTCCGGACCGATACCACTTAGGGACCTTCAAAAAAAGAGCCTGCTTCTTATAATGATTTCTAATATTTACGCGAACACTACACATTTAAATAAAACTTATTTTATGGATTTTATCGCGTATATTAACTTAATTTACATTCCCGACGTTTCAAGTACTTTACAGCACCCATGGTCACGAGGGGACTGAGGTGTATGACGTCCCAAGCAAGTTTTGCACGACAATAAGCTTCGGGTCCCGCGCCTTCGTCACAGTAAACGAGTGAAGCCGGCCACATTCGAGCGAGTGCCTGCTGTACTGCCATATATGTCCGAGGTGTCACTGACAAGATTGGCTACATCTTGAAGCGTGCTTCCATTAAAACATATTTCAAGCCGCCGAAGAAGATTAGTCAGTTTTTACCATCAGTCAAGTGTAATATTCCTCTGGAAGATGCAGGCTTACCATAGTTTCTACAAGCTTGATTGTGAATGCGGTCTCTCTTATATAGGACCAACCAAAAGATCCAGAAAAACCCGCGTTAAAGAACACATAGCTGATGTGAAGAATAGACGCTCCGGGAAGTCTGCAGTCTGTGAACATGTACAGGATCGCCCCCGTCACTACATTAGATTTGATAGACCACAAATCCTCGCTAAAGAACATCGATTCCTTCCAAGGATAATTCGCGAGGCTACTGAAATCAAAAAACATCCTAATTTCAATAGAGAAGACGGCTGGGTGCTACCATCTGCTTGGGATCCTAAAATTAATAAAATTAAATCCCAACCCAAGCATACAACTGCAAGACTTCATGATACTGTAAGTTCATACTGCGTAGATCGGAACAAAAATTAATAATTTTTAATCTGGAGGTAGCCGTGATTAACTATGACATTGGGACGTCATACTCCTCAGTCCCCCCCGTGACCATGAGTGATGTAAATTACTTGAAACGTCGGGAATGTAAAATAAGTTAATATACGCGATAAAATCCGTAAAATTAGTTTTATTTAAAAGCCTACTCCTTTTTAAAAGGCCGGCAATGCATCTGCAATTCCCCTGGTATTGCGGTTGTTCATAGGCGGCGGTAGTCACTTACCATCAGGTAGGCCGCATACTCGTTTGCCCCCTCTCCTATAAAATAAATGTCGGGTGTTTTGCTACCTCTCTACGTCCGTAATAAATCATGTCGGATATCGTTCGCTTATGAGTAAGTATGGCGCTTTTCACATTATGTTTGATATCGGGCCCGGCAAACCTCTAAAAAACCTCTAAGCCCGGCTCGCGTATAATGGAACGTAATAATGGAAAACAGATAAAATAAATCCTGAAGATTTGATCACACTAGTTTCATTTCTTGGGTCTTTTTCTTTGTTTTCTTCTAAAATAACACATTAAAACAAAAGCTTTGTCTACGTACATCGCCTATGATAGAATGCAAAAACTGGTTCTAATTTCGATCGGATCCCTCAACCGATTAAAATAAGACTTCCGACACCCGACAAGTGGGAACGAGGTCATTCTAATTCTATGAAAAAGTTAATAGTTTTTTTTTTATTTCAGCTTATCGTCTATTTCGGGGTGATTGTGATGTCAGTAATGTTGGCACTGCCCTTCTACCTGATAGTGGAGGCGCCAATGACCGGACTTCTAAAAATATTCTTTAAATCGAAAGACTCGAAACAGACAGAAGTTGAGTGGAATGGAAAGAAAAAAGAGTAATTATGAAGAAAAGTGAGGAATAATTTTTGAAAATTTAAGGGGAATTTTTAGAAATTAGGTCTTGAGATTATAATATTATAATATGTGTATAATGTTATGGACAGTATGTTTTTTCGTGACTAATTAAATTAGCGCTAATTAACCTCCTTTTTAATTTAATTCTGAAGATTCACAGTACATGTGTTTGCTACTTTTGGTATATTTCAATAGTTTGTTTTATTTCTATTTTATTAAAGAATTCTGGCTATGGTGTTAGTACATTTTTTTCTTTAATTACTCCAACTAAGCATAAAATTCTATTTATAAAAAGTTTTATTTAACTAGCTTCCTTTTATATCTTTCCGGTTCAAAATTTTTAGTCGATTTTTGAAGCACTTGTTGATATCCAATTAAGCTGAAATTTGACACGGTGATGAAATGATGATGGACCCGGATGCTAGAGTCGGCATTAAACATCAACGAACGTGAGATAAGTAAAATAGCGATTCTGTTAGGACCAAAGTATCTGGATTTAATAAACATTGTAACTATAAGGTTGCAATTATTATAGTGCATGAGTAATTATAATGTTTATGGGCCACAAAATCCACTTACCATCACATCAGGTGGACTCACCTTTACTTCTATAAAAATAAACTATTAAGAAACCAAATTAAAATTAAATACTAAATCTCTCATTTAGTACGGACTAAACCGCCACAAAATTCTAACCACGGCGGTTGAACGGAAATCAGTGGTCCACTTCAAAGCTGTCGAATAATATCGATATAATATTTCTACGCACTAGCTATCATGCAGTAAGGGATAAATCCAATATTTTTTTCTTTTATCTGCGTCGTTATAGAAATATAGCTAGCACAAGCTACTTTAACAGCGTCCATTTTGTTTATGAACCGAAACTCATTTCTGCGCCTTAAATAGGGTTACCAAACGTCAGGATTTCTCCTGACATGTGAGGATTTTTAGGCATTTGTCAGGATTCCGGGTTTTTTTGGAAATGTCCGGATTTTTGGTGAGTTTATGAAATACTAAAGAAGTAACAATCACTTTTCTGAAATATTGATTTTGACGGATTACGGTTACTCACCTGTTTGTATTTCTATATAGTATAGTTTCGTAGATGTATTCAGAAAAGGACGATAATGCTGAAGGTGACATATGGAACTACCATAAATAATTAACGCACCACAACATAAGAAATAAAACTAAGATAAAAATAAAGCAGACAAAGAGTTTCAAATATTCATGTCATCATCTGTCACTCATATAAAGGTATATGCGTTGTAGATGTAGGATTACATTATATCTATGTGCCTATCGTGGCAACTTGGGTACCCCTTGAGCGGTTATTCTGAGAGGCTGGATCTACAATCACCCAGGAGAGAAACCGCAAACTTGGCACCAGGTTATCAAAATTGTTATTTTAATAAACAATTCTAAAGAAACAAACGTAAAAGTAATCCGTGATTAATTAATACTTGTTTTTTGTTAAAACAAATATTTATCGATAAAATTAAATGTGTAAAAATAAATAGTTGGAAATTTCCTAAAATAACATCAATATAATATTTTATTATTATACTTCTTTGTTTAATTTCTGTTCTGTTCTGTTTCTGTTCTATATATATATATATATATATATATATATATATATATATATGATTATTTATTCGATATATATATATATATATATATATATATATATATTTAATAGGTGATAAAATAAAACATAAAAAAATCGATATATCGTTCATAAACTTCGATGTTTTTAATGTGCGATGTTGCACCCTATAGATGTGCCAACTTTTACTACAATTACGACTCGAGTTAACTGGAGTTGAAATTCATGAAACTCGAATTAAACTCAAGATACGCAATTCGAGTTAGCAGTACGAAACAGAATAAATGATTTTTTAAATTTACACAAATTAATTTTTATAATATTTTTTCTATCTAACTCTTTGGTGGGTTGGGGAAGCTATTATCAATAAACTTAGCAGGTAGGATTGAAATAAAAAGGTATATTTAGTATGTATCATATTTTTATGTATTATTGGTTTTAATCTTAGTTATAGTAAGTAGGTACATATAGTTAACAATAAAACTACCTATATAGCAGTCTTCACAAAACAACATGAGTCTAGTTTTAAGATGTAGCTACATTTGCTATTTAATAGTTTAAATATTTTTAAATACCTTAGCTATTATAAAATGCTAAATAACAAATTATTTTGGTAGTAGTAATACTCTTTGAAACACAAAGCGCGCCCAAAATTTAGACTAACTAGAAATCTTAGAGTCACAAATAGTCTTTGCCTAGCACTTACACTCTATCTTAAAACCGTACTTTGTTTTCGATATACGGAGTCACTAAACTTAATAGCACCTCGAAGTCCTCTTCCCCCATTCTCAGGTAATTTTGAATTTTTCTCAGGTAATTTTGCGGATTTTCCGTAAGTTTTAAATATTCTTTTACACATATCTTCTTCTCCTCCTCTTTTGTTTAATATCGTCTGGTTTTTCTCGTCGTCAAAACGTCCAGTAATAAAAGTTTAAAAAATAAACAAAAAATAAAAATCTTTATTTTCGCTCCAGTAATACTTAAAACTAGCTGTACCTTGAGAGTTCGCCCGCGTGTAATTTGGTTTTGATCTTTTTGCGCGGAACCCTAAATCTTTTTATAAAATAAAAGTAGACTAATTTACTTCTTATTCTTATAATATTAGATATCCGCCGGTGAAAGTCCCGTCAAAATCGGTCCAGCCGTTTTGGAGATTAGCCGGAAAAAACCGACAGACAGACAGAGAAAAATTTTAAAAATTATGTTTCTGTTATAAGTACCATATATACTCTCATATGCATTTAATAAAAAGCTATTATTTTGACACTACAAACAGACACTTCAATTTCATTTATTTGTATAGAATAGATGTATAGATTAAATACATTGTTGAAATACTCCTTTTAAGTTAGGAAACTTGTGTTAGGAGGCTCCTCTCTTCCCGTCCTTCATTTATATAAATTAGTGTAAATAATAGTAAAACTTATATTATATAGTATTTTTACAATAAGATATCTGTAGGTGTTAGTTGTGTGATTGTGTAGTGTACGTGAATGCGGTGTGTGCATGTTGAGGTGTGGTGTATTTAGTAAATTATTAATTATGAATAAATATATTTAAAAGTGTTTCGGTATCTTTGTAATTTAAAGTTTTCAACCAATCTATTGTTTTCTTTTTAACTTCTATGCTATGCAATGGATCTATGCTTAAGATTTTATTTATTTTACTATATAAGTACATTGCCCTTTTCTTATATTGTACTGAAGCAAATTTCGTTTTACAGTGATCGGTACATAGAACTATGTTGTTTCTTCTTTTGTTTGTCTTGTCATGTTCATACCTGGTAGGTTTATGAATTTTAAGCAATAAAAACAAAATGTATAACTTTCGAACTGAATAGACACCAGACAAATTATAAAGGTCGAGAATCGGTATGGTTTGAAATAGCAGACCATAAACAGGGACAGGGACAGGGACCTCAAGGTATCTTGTTTTTAAAGCTCCTCTCCATACTGGGATACAATAAGTGAGAACAGATTAAGCCAGTGCTGTATATATTTTGTTCATTAATTCGGAAGTTATAACATGTCTTAACTTTTCTGAAAATCCACATAAATTATCTTATGCGGCCAGTTACTAACTTACTTATACCACCAGCCAGTTACTTACTTACGGTTATACCACGACAGTCTCTGGCCAATAACAACACCTAAATATTTTGTTTTTTCTACTCTATTTATAACACCACAGTAATAATTTTGGCCCTTACACTACTAAATCATGCAAAACATGACGATAAATTGATATTTATCACGCGATATATGTATATTGATACTGTTTAAAAATATCGATACGATAAATATCGATACTTTTTCACTTGCCCATCCCTATGACTGAGTAAGGGCGTAAAATCAGTGTAGTGTAACAACTGACGTCTCTAGTTAGGGGCTACGCCCACCCTTAATTCTGGACCCTAATTCAGTAATGTCATAGCGGTATAAGGGCTAAGATGAAATGCCTCGTTTTCAGTAAAAAGGGTCTCTAGATCTTTACACTCACCATACGAAACAGCAGCTTGAGCTGCTACTTTACGCTGATATTCTCAAAGAGCGTGCTCCTACACCGTTCAATGCGACCCAATGACTATTACAACCATAATATAGCTGCAAGATGACTCTACAAAGTAAAATTACCATTTTTAATTTTAAACATTATTATATATAATTTTTTAATTAATGACGTTAAAAATTGATTCACCATCCCCATCACCACTACTCTCAACACCACTATACTGAGAAAGATACACCGCTGCCGATAATACATGGTAAGTTTTTTTTTTTATAGGAGAGTGGGCGATCGAGCATGCGGCTCACCTGATAGTAAGTTACTACCGCCGCCCATGAACAACTGCAACACCAGGGGAACCATCGGTATGGCCGATGAGTTTTAAAAAGGAGTTGGCTCTTTTCTTGAAGGTCCCTAAGTCTTATCAGTCCGGAAAAATCGCTGATGGTAATCGATTCCACAAGCAAGTTGTGAGAGAAAGAAAACATCTTCTAAATCGCACAGTGGTGGACCGCCAATTATCCAGATGGTGTGGATGGTATCGGGAGTTCTGCCGCGATGTGCGTTCGTGAAATTTGGCGGCTGGGATTAATCCGAATAATTTCTCAGAGCACTCCCCGTGATAAATGTGAAAGAAAATGCAAAGGCATGCAACATCTCTTCGCAGCGCCAATGAATCGAGCCGATCGGAAAGGACTCGGTCGTCGACGATTCGAGCCGCTCTGCGCAGGTAACTTTCTTTATTTGAAACCTATTATAAAAAATTATAAAATATTGTTACCCTTATAAGTTAATAGCTATTCGTGTCAATCCACTTAGTTAGCTAATGAAGTGACAACCTGGTAAGAGATGCTGGACTATTGAAGGGCTGTAATGATGATTATATCTCGTGATATCTGATATGATGATAGTGTAATATCTGAACTACTAGACCGATCTTGACGTCTAGTTTCAAAAGCAAATTTCTTTTTCTTCCAATTTTAGCAAATTCCAGATTTTTCTGTCAATAAATGTTCAGTAGCAGCCCAGATATTATGGTTGTAGTACGGACCGGGGTAATGCAGAATACAGAAAAACAACACAAAGTGCTGGTAGAATAAAAAAAACGCGTAATATATTGTTATATAA